ACGTTGGAAGCACTGTCTGACGCGTCTGCCTCCGCGACCGGAAAGGAGAAGCGGCGATGGAAGATGAAGAAGATGAAGATGAAAAGTAGAAGTAAGTAGAAGAAATCGAAGTAACAATCAAAGAAACAAAACTACTCACCTGCCATTTTTGTGGCCCTTGGCTATTTTTTTGCAACTGTCGTCGCTAATCTTGCATGGAATAATCAGAACAGCCGGATAGCTGAAATGCAAATTTAATAGTGATCGAGCAGAACAGCAAAATTAGTAAATACCTCTGGCAAACGGTGTAAAATTTGTTGACGGTTGTCAACCGAAAGAAACTTGCGTCAGACGCGCTGGGTGAAGGAACCACGTTGGCTTTCGTGAGGGTACCGCCGTCATGGAACGTCACCTCCATCTTGCTGCACAATCCCAACCGCTGGTAGTCTTTGCAGTAGCTGCGTTCCGACAAACGATCCAACGTATGGCTGTATACGAATTTTTCCAACGAACCACATCGAGAACGGTCCTTTTCGCCTGCAATGAAAAAAAGCTGCTGCTTAAGTTAGAAGAAGAAATAGAAAAACCAACAACAAGTTGGTTGTATGAAAACAGATGTGTATTCACTTGGCTTGCTCTTCCCATTACAAGCCATAACATTTCCCGTAAGGAAGAAGGAAAAATAGTCAACGTTGGAATGCACGTTTTTCTTCACTTTCTCGTGATAAGGCCGTTTTGGCCCCCTTTTTATGAAGTTGATGATGCGGTGATAACCTACGTTTCTAATCGGTCAGGAGTGCTTCACTTATTTTTAAAGTCAGAGTCTACAACCCATGTGACAAGAGTAGCGAGTAATATCCGGCTTCCTTTCCACAGAATGGTACTGACTTATCAACTACGGAAGGATGGAAGGCGAATGAATCCGATTGGGATTTCAACTCAAGACCAGTGGGTTCTGAGTTCGATGCTCTACCGATAGAGAAAACCTAGTCTGAAGCAATGCTTGGTAAACTGATTGTTCAAGGGAGTTCGTGAGTAAGACAAATATAGCCCATGAGCGGAACTGAACCGGGCACCTCCAAAAATCGAAGCATAGTACTACTTGGCTGTTGATTCATCGAAAAACAGAATGAACAAAGGCGATGAACTAACCATGTGAAGCCTGTTAGCGAATCATGGCGTCATATAACCATATATCTACCCACCCGTGCTAGCTTAGACAAACAGCACAGTCGTATGTCACGGAAGGAAAACGTTTGGCAAACGATGCCACGCTAAATGAATACATTTTTATTCTCACTGTCCGCAAAAACACTCATTCTATCTGTTTCGTTTTACATAACTTTATTATTTGTGAAGAACTGGGATGTTGCTTACTGTGCCGATTTGCGGATATTCAAGTAAATAAAATTTGAATTACTGAACAGCGCAGTCACGGGTGAAATTATAAGGAATAAGTCTGTTACAGACTCCTGCCGTTTTCTGCCGAAGATCAGACTCTGACACAGGATCGGGACCGCTGGAAGCACTGTCTGACGTGCTTGCCTCTGTGAATCGAAAAAAGAAGCAGTTTATGGATGATGAAGAAGAAAAAGAAGATAGCAGCGCAACCACGGGGAAATTTCGGTGGCATATTACGGGATTTCATTCAAACGAAACCCGTTCGCTTTGCGTTGCTTCGCGACTGCAGAATGTTTACCGCAAACGTCAAGCAACACCGCAAAGATACAGGATACTTTGCCTCACATTCTGTGATCTTCAATTATAAGGAATATGTTGCGTGAATAGCAACATTGAATATTTGCGCTTTTTGAAAAAACAAACAAATAAGAAGTAAAAACTCCACCATGGCCGGTCCCAAGACCGGATGAGAAAGGAGAAGGGTTGGCGACCGTCGCAAGTCTCGGTAAAATTCAGCCACCTGCCACTCCGTACTGACGCCATCGAAAATTATACCGGCTCGGTCGTCGCCGGGTTACCAAGGGCCGCGCAGGCTGTTGGGTGACTGAGGAAGACTGCGAAAAAAAGCGATCAGAACCTGATCATTGTCCTCTGCCAGCT